ACGCTCGGACATTCACACAGCGACCAAGGAAAGGGGCCCTGAATCGCTAATTTCCGTGGGAGCAGGAGTTTTAGTACCAGCGGTACCAGCGCCAGTGGCACAACACCCGGCGGCAGCGAAGACGATTCGTCACGGATTCGAATTGGATACAACGGGGTGGGGAAATGCCAACAACAGTGGAAACTCGCACCGTGGCTGCGGTTCATCCCCGCCACAGATACAAAGCCGACGAGAAACACAAGCTCAGTATAAATTACCGCAGCAACCACATCAGGAGCAACACCAGGAGAAACATCAGCAACAAATGCACCCCGTTCCAAACAATCGCCAGCCCCAGAACATGGATCCTCTAAAAGCAACGATTGACACCAGCACTGGTTCTGTTTTCAACGCGAATGGCAATTCCTACCAGGCTTCTTCTCCTCCTCCTGTCGCTACAGGCTTCCACGATAAAATGGCCTTTTCGATGACGTCCATCGGCATCGGCATCGATCACCAGCACTACCACTTTCAAAACCAAAGCCGCGGCAACCCCCCGCCCTTTCCGGATGCTACCGAGGCTGCAGCAAAGGCCGTCAAAGATGCAATGGATCGATCCTTTCTCCGGTGCTCTTATCCTCCTAGCAGCACCGCTCCGTTGCAGATCCGGATCCGGTTGGGGGTCCCCTGCGCGCAGTCATCCGGTACGCACAAAACGAACGTTGGAACCCTCATGGCGGTCGATCAAAAACGAATCGCCTCCGTTCTCCCCTCCTCTGTGAACCTTCTCCCCCTGCAGTTCGAGGTGGGTGGTCTCTTTGTGCCCGGAGGGAGCGGCGGCAACAACAGCAACCCCAGTGCCAATCGCACTGCTCCCTCGATMTGCACGGTAGTAGCGTGCATCACCCTCGAGCCGTTCGACCGCTGTAGGCAACCGCTGCCTTCCTCCACGCAGCAGCTATCATCGCCGCCACAGCGACAATCCACACAGCTCGTACCGAACCAACCCAAGGTGTCAATCTTTTCTTCCACTAGCACTCTTCGCGGTACTGCTACAACCACTGCGGCTCCGTTACCACCGCCCCCCCTGTCGTATCGGACTACACAACAAGGGGAACACCATTCCGCGGAACGAGAACCTACCGATGGCAATAGAACTGATCTTCGACCTTCGGCGATAGGCGAAAGCAAGATTCACCAGTGTGAAGCAACCATCGAGGGGAAGAAATCACAGCAGCACCAATCCCTGGCTCGTGGAAATTCAACTAAACGTGCGCATGCAAATGCATTGCCTCCCCCTTCCCAACCACACCGTCAAATTGCAGCAGTATCAGCTGCTACAACGAATTCTATCGAACTGCTTGCAATGATCAGCGCGCAAGAAATCAACCGCACAAACACGACAACGATAGCCGCTTCCGCAACACAAGTGGCAGCAGCAGCAGCAGCAGCAACGGCCGTACCACCGAGCCACACTCATCCTACGCCCGATCTCCGTGTACCACCGATGGTACCTGAAGGAACGGATACTTCTACCGATCACCATATAAGTGGAAAACGCAAACCATTCCCACCGGAACGAACCACCCCTAAGAACCACGGTAACAACTCCGAGGTTCTCAACGGTGGGATCCAAGCAAGTTTTAATGGCGGCCCCCAACCCTCTGCAAATAACGGTGCCCGAACCGTTCCAGGAACCTCCAGTGCTCCCCTTTCGGACGCCAGGATCCAGACTTGCGGTTCTGTWGCCATACAAAGACCCCCGCCATCGTCGCCGATCTATACCGACTGGTCGGGTGAGCGGCCCCTYCCGGAGGAACGGGATTGCTGGGCCTTGTCGACGAGAACGACTTCGAGTCCGGTCTTCCCCCTCAAGCTACACGAGACTCTGAGCCAGATCGAACGAGACGGACTCGAGCACATCATCGGGTGGCTCCCACACGGAAGAAGCTTTAAGATTTTCAAGCAAAAGGAGTTTGCTGAGATCATCCTCCCCAGGTACGTACATGCAAGCAAAGATCGTGCTGTATTCATTATTTTACCATGTCGTGAAATGCAAGCGGTCTCCCTGCCCCCTCGAGTGGTTCTGCTCACTGCGATTTTTTGGTGTTCGTTCGTCCTGAACTTTATAGATACTTTGTGATGACTAAGAAGTCAAGCTTTTTGAGGCAACTCAATCTTTACTCGTTCCGCCGGTTCAGTGCGGGCTTCACGGACAAGGGAAGCTACTACCACGAAAAGTTCTTGCGCGGCAGAAAGTTTTTAACACGGAGGATGACCCGACAGAAAGTCAATGGGAATCGTATACGATCCGCGGGCAACCCGGACGAGGAACCCAATCTGATGTTGTACCCCGTTTGCTACGGAGAAAACCAGAGCGAGGAAAAACAACAACAGYCTCAGCAACACCAGCGAAAACTTCCCGCGACCCTTTCGTCCTCCCAGTCTTCTTTCTGTGCGTACACTGCTCCTGGGCCCACCCAAACAGCAACAGATCCTCCGGTGGCCGGAGGAATTTCAAATAGAAATGATACGATAGGGACAGCTCCGTTTTTGAAAGTACTCTGAACCCACCGTGAACCGAAATCGTGCGTTGTTGCCTCGCTTATCATGCCGAATTTGAGCTGATAATTTTCATTGGTTCACGACAGTTGCAGTCCAACTTTAACTCCTTTGCTTTGGTCGAAAGAAGGAAGGTGGAGCTGGTGTAACTATAGTGCACTGTGATATGACAATGTTACTAAATTTAAAAAATATATTGGGTTGTGTACAAATATTATGAATCGGAAGTGAAACCATGGTATCCCATAGACGTTGCTCAGACCGACTGTCAAACGTTATCAATCAGTACATAGAAATTATCACGAATAACCCCGAAAGCACTCATTGTATGACTGAACCACGGCTGGTACTTCATACTATTACAAGGCCGGCGGGTTTTCAGAGGCAGGAGCCTTCGAAACATGTTCTTCGACATGTTCTTCGACCTGGCTTTTTGGTGTGAAGAGGGCGCTTCGGTTGCGAAGAAAACTGCTTTGCATTATGCTGCTGTTTCTGACAGTTGACCACACACGGGACAATTCCTTCACTGCAGTTCGATAGTGCAGGCCCGTATGGAAGAGAAAATTCCAGAAGCCCTGCAGAGTAAGCGCTGTTCCCGCGAACAGAAATTGTCCATACGAAGAAAAGGCTTTGCCATAACCAATCATGAGTTGTAGAGAAAGATATGCCGGCCACGTCAAATAAAAGGCACCAAGGTACACCATCGACTGGAAGAAAAATGCTCTCGACAGCGATTCACGTTCATTTTCGCTGTGTCGTCGAAAACGCCGCGAAGCACGCTCCGATTTGTACACAAACCAACATAAGTTGATCATTATCACCGTTGCAATTGCAATAGCAACCATCACCGGAATCTCAGACCAATATGATCTTGAATTGTTGCACCACAACACAGTATTGTCATAATAGGGAATCCCAGCAAATGCAAATATGGCACCAACCAAAATAGGTACAACAAAAAGCATGGAATACGCCCAGCTCTGCCTCAATCTATTTTCTCTCCACGAATATTGGATGATCAAAAGATAGTAAAAGGCTATCGATACATTCATGTACAAAGATATTGTGCCGAGTTGGATGAAAAAGCCCTGCGCAATGCACGAAGCTTCGTTCCCTTGCGAATGTAGGATATAATCCTCTTTGGGAGTCGGCAATGTTGTAAATGCATATGCAATTGAACCGATGATATCAAAGCAGCATAAGAAAATGATGAGTTCGCCTATCACTCTCTTGCGCTTTTGCTTATCTCTCAGGACACCAATGATCATAAAGGAAGACCCCTACGTATTTCGAAAAATTGCATGAAGAAGGCGAAAAAGAACGTGTTACATGAAAATTCCGGTCTTGAAAAATGCAACAAACACTTGTATAAAAACTTCACAAGATCGGGGCTCTTACCAAAATGGATAATATAGCTCCAACTCGTGGGAACCATTCCAACATGAGTTGTTTCTTCTTGGTTTTTGCTCCTGCATATCCGAGTGAGTCACTGCAGCCACAAATGTAGTTCCAGCTTCTGCCAGATGCACACTCTGGAGTATCTGCCTCTATGTTCATCCTACGGTAAAACTCGGCTACTGCCCAGCATTCGACATAAACATCTGGGAACATTTCAATCCTGAGAGAAAAATCATACATAAGTAAATAGTTAGCAATGAAACCGCAACAAAAATTGTTTATCAAACTAAACTCCCGGAAGATCAAAACCAACTTACGTCCGGTATGGATACTCCATGTCCCAATTTTCGACGTCGGCACAGGTTGCTTCAGATTTGGCCGCGCAAAATTGGCAGGGAGTTTCCACCTCCACATCCTTTTCGGTTGAAAAGTAACCATCTCCAACATCTCCGATTTCAAATTGTCCCCTCGGACAGAATTTGCATGGTGCAGACCGCAGTTCCGTTTGCTCTACAGGACTGGTGAAACATTTCGCGACACACTCTGTTGCTCCTTGACCGTTCAGGTCGAGAAAGAAACAGTCCGCATCGGTTTCGGGACACTGGGCACAGAAGCCTCTTCTCCCCTTGCTAAAGTCGCAGAATTCTGTCTCAGAAGTGCACGGCAAGTGTCCAGTAAGACCGTCTGTAAACATTTGATTGCAATCGACTCGAAACTCCGTCGCTCTGCAATCACCGTACTCGATGTTGTCGAAATTGCACTCCAAATCCGTTCCTTCGCATTCATTGCCCTCGGTGCAACCTAGCCAACAGTCTCCGGGAGATCTATCGATGCCACCAACCTCAACTGTAGCTAGCAAATGTGTTCCTTCTGGCATTGCAGCGACTTGTTTCAGTATAGATTTCCCATCAATGTGCCTCAACGTTACGGTTGGGATGAAAGTCTCACGTCCATTAAAAGTTCCGTCAATATTGTCGCATTTCGCCTCTACGTTGTAAATTACAGCGGCAACACCACCTCCTTCGTAACAGTTAATAGTCTTGTTGGAAAATGGGGCTTTACCACGCTCTATAAAACAAACTGCGCCTGCTGCGCCTTCGCACGGCTCCAAACCCAATCCGCAGTTCACAATCGGACCGGTTGCGGTCATCTGCGGTGATCCAAATAGTATCACCACGTCGTCAATAGCTTTAGTATCCTCTTCTCGATCGGAAGTTTCTGGTGCTTGCTCCGTGATCCTGAGCGCACCCTCGGGGTTGCAATTCACACTACACGACGATTGACAGGCGAAAACTCCATCGTCTGTGAGGTTCTTGAGGTTCTGGCCGAGGTTTTCACGGTTTTCGTTTTCACAAAAGTACATGTGAACGGGGCACCCCTCGCAGCGGCCACCCTTGATGCCGTTCTCGAAGTTGCAAAACAAACCATTGGAGCATGGTTTCGTGAACGAACACGTGTTCGTTTCCGTCCCGCACTGAGCTTTGCACTCCGCGGCGACCGCTTGTCCCATAAAATACTCCGTAGATGCCTCGCTGCCGGTGCCTTCGGTGAGGGCGGGATCAGGCTCGCATGCGTCGAAACTCCCAGAGCACGGCCTGCAAAGCCCTAGTACAAAGCTAGCCCCGTCTTTGTCTGTTTCTTCCGACAGGTCGCAATAATAGCCATCTGGGCAGAACGGATAGAGGGCATCCCAGTCGCCGACACCGTCCGTTTCGTCATCGTCTGTTGCATTCTTGTCATCGAAAAGAGGGGCCACAATCATGGCGCCACCCTCTGTCCGAGAAAAAGTTCGCGACGTGCATCGCTGTTGGTGAGCAATTGGGTTCTCCATCGCAATGGAAACCACATCAGCAACAACAAAGCCCATGCTTTCGGATAGAAAAACAAACACAAGTATCGAGAGAGATTTCGCAATCATGGTGACAACAACTACTTGAAAATCGCGATGCTTGTTCTTGTATACTTCTTCTGGTCTGACCCTGGTGTTTGGATTTGACACTACCAGGGATGAAGGTACGAGTTGGGAGAGTGTATGTATGTAATTAACAAAGGCACCTAGTCGTTCGGATGCGTTTTGTCGATCGTGCTTCTGTATTCTGCCTTTGTTTTTGTTGTTCAATAGTTCGTTAGCAATGTGACGTGAAGAAGCAACACTTTGCAAAATTCGAGTGGAACGGGTTCAGCTTCGTACCTATGCAATGTTGCACTAACGCTTGAAGCCTACCTGGGGGAAGAAATCGGTGCGTTGGTGTCGGCGAGATTATTCCGTTGTGCAAACATGCCGCGTGATGAGTACGAGTACGAGTGAGAGGCGAAGTTTGTTCGATTTCGACACCCGTACCGTGCCGCACAGATTACAGCGTATCCCCCGTACCGAACTTGAAGTAGAGTTTCCAACCGCTTCTAAAACAGCTTCATCCGAATTACTTGTTCTACTACTTGTGCCGTGTAAGGAACCAGGGGTCATAATATATGACCCTGTGAAGAAAAAGCGCGCATGTAAAAAAATTGTCGAAGTATCAGTTTCGGTATTGGGCTTTTGAAAGAATTTTATTTGGTCTCGGCAGCTCTTCGAAGACAATGGAAACTTTCACGTCACACGTAATTGCCTTGTCTCAAAGGGTGTCAATGAAAAAAAATAATGCCTCAGCAGAAATTTCTGAAAAAAATAATGCCTCAGCAGAAATTTCTGAATTCTTAAATTTGATTGACACAAATACCTGTGTACCAACTACTTTTTCCTCTGCCAAAAAATACATTAGTACCAGATGGAGGATACAAAAAATAGGTACTACTCTGTTTTGTAATTTTTTGAGTGACACAAATGAGTTGTAGTGTACCGTATTGTAGTGTAGGTCTGTCGAGGCAAAAAACTGCCGTTGTCCGTAACAGTCCGTTGAGCGGTTGAACAAAAATTTGAAAATTGAAAACAGAAACTTTGGCTTGGCATCCTTCCTTTTGTGGATCTGGAACTTCCATTCGAGAGTCCGGAAATCGGGCTTGTTCGTTTGCGAAGATGGAATGCCGTTCCTATGGAATGCAGTTGTATATATCATTACAGAGAAACATCGACTCGAGGAAACAAAAGCGGGGTTGGAGTTTGAAAATGGTATGAAAGTGGACCAACATTACCCTGCCTTTCTACCTTCCACAGGTTCAAAGCCTCTGCATGGGTTGCCATTGAGCCCCGAACACAAGCCCTGGCTGGATAGACGAAGCTCTGCTACAGAGAGTCGGCGCAAGTGCCACAACACAACACAACACAACACAACGCAGCACAACAAAGACTGCACAAAGTCACTGCATTGTTCGTAACATCCTTATTGGAAGAAATATCACTGACTCGAATCACGGAGTACCGACAACAGTTTGATGCCGCACTGGCTTACTCCGCCACTGCAGTATAGCGCATTGCGTTGGCACTTCTATGCACTACGAATTGGCTCAAACGGAGACTAGGTAGAATAACGCTCGCGTGGGCGAATTCCCGAAAATTTCATCACAGAACCTACAATGTTATTATGGTTATTGCAGTAACATGAAATAAATATACAGAGGGAGTAAACTGCGTTGGTTCCTAAAAATTTGCGTCTTTTTTTCGTACAGCGAAGGCGGATATGGTCTTGCCGTTCAAAGAGTTCTTSGAAAACACGGAGCGACGAAATGGTTTTAGTCGTCCTCTTCGGCCGCGGCCATTATTTTTACTGCATTTTCTACACAAGACCATACACGATCAGCATCTTCTTCTGTTACGATACTAATGATGTTTACAGAAATAAATACACCAATATACATTACCAATGAATGAATCGCAGATTTGAAGAAGACGACGAAAAATACGTAGAAGTGAGTCAGAAAAGTCAAAACTGAGAGACGCGATCACGTTGACCAGAAAAGCACAGAGTGACGCTGTTACGATTCAATTCGATCTTACTTGAGAAATCTTCACGTTCGTTTTGGTGCGACGGAAATAGAGCCCCGGTGGCACCGATTATTGTTCAATACAAACGAATTCGTTCAGCAAAGTCAGGATTGAGAGCAACCGTAGTCATGTTAGTTGATCAAGAAGCCAAAACCGAGCGAGGGAAATAGACAGACAGAAACACAAACAAACGAACAAACCAAACCGAACTCGAACTCGAAGCAGCAAACCTACGCGTCCGACTCGAACTCTTCGCTGGTCATCCCCTCCAGGGCGACGCTCCCGAAATACTCGTCGTGCTCGACCGCCGCGCAGGGGGCCCTCTTGCAGGAACCGATGCACGGGCCCTCCTCCACCCTCACCCCCGTCGCCGCGGCCCGCGAGTACAGGGCCCCAAAGGTCGACAGCGGGTCCAGGCCCAGGCTCTGCCGCTTCTTGCTGCAGGCGACGATCTTGAACTTTTTCTCTTGCTCGGCAATGGCGTCGGGTTTGGAGTCGGCGTCGGCGTTGTCGCTGGCTTGGCCGTGGTGGCTCGAAGGTGCGGTTTCCAGCGCCAGCAGGGGTCTCGGCGGTCCGGATGCCGTGCTAGCGAGCTGCCGTCGTCGTTGGTGGCACCGCGGATTCGTTAGCGACAAGGATCCCGGAAGGAACAGCACTGCGACCGCGAGTTGCCGCGGTGGGAGAACCATGGCTGTTATCGAAACCACGGTGCTCTTTTTCGTCCCTGGTTTTGTCTTGCGATGCGGTATGCTGTGGCACTATGCGCTGTCGTCTTTGCGTTTCGTTTTGTTCTGGTCGGTCTTAAACTGCATGGAGTGATTTGTCTCAAACAAACAAAGGTTGCTCAAAACGACGCCATGCTGGAGATGGTGTCTGTCCTGTTCTGTTTGTTCTTYCTGTTCTTGTTGGTATCTATTCGTTCGGCTTCTGTTTTCCGTTTCCAATAGATTCACGAGTTACAGTAGCACAAGTACGAGTACCATTTGCCATTTGCGATTAGTCAGCCCGAAGCACACCACAATCCCACTTACGGCCTCGTCCATGCCTTGCACGCTTGGTAAGGTTTTTGAAGGAGAGTGAGTGAGTCAGCTGGTGCTCGTACTTGTAATATTAATCGTACCGGTGTACGTACGTAATTACCCAAACCCGTACCTGCAGTTCGAATATTTTACTTCGCGAATTTCTACTGACTTACTGTACCAGTTTGAGCCTAAATTTTTTTCTTCGTACGCACCATACTTATTAAATGTATCCATTGTGAGGCAGTAGCTCACGATTGATCTAGACCGAAAACTTTGTATGTACACTTGCTTGTATTCGTACTCGTACTGTCTGATGCGAAGTACAGTACTTTTTCGTACGAGCTGTACTACTCAATACAGATTTCTGTGAAATCATCAATCGAATGAAGACGCATGTTTCAGGAGGGAAGATACTACCATACCGTACGTAATGTAATGCAAACTAAACCAACGCTACATACCGACTTCATACTGCACATACCCAACCCAAACACTAAGGGATCTATCGTTGGCTTGTTTGTTGCAGCACTTCATTTCTTCCGTAACAACTTGTTGGTACTGCACGACAAAATGAACTGAAAAGGTAGGGTGGGATGCGTGGCGTTGCATACAATTGTCGTTTCCGGGTGATTTGAAGTACTAGACGAACAGAAACTGAGTCGTGGTGGTTGCGGTTGCAGTTGTGGTGCCCTATCATACCAACGATTTTCTGGATAGGATCGAATCGAATTGGTTGGTAACCCACGTGCAAAACACGATGCTCTAACACATCCCGATGCGTTGCTGCCTATTTTTGATTTTTTTCTAGCCAAAAGCTCGTTCKATACACTTCTTTACAGGCCGTACGGCAGAATGGATATCGATTCGTGCTGGCATTCCTCCGCTCCGCACCGCATCTGGAAACCCTAACAAACCCAAACCCAGAGCCTCTGATCGGAACAACAAAGCAACGACAACAAAACAGATGAGTCGCACAACAACAACCACCTCTGCCCAGCGATGGAAGCGTCCCTCGACGCTGCTCTTTCTCGTCCTCGGCATCGCGGTGCCCATGGGCCTGCGTTTCTTCTGGACGGAAGAACCACCCGTTKTCTTGTTCGRCGACTTGGAGAGAACGGTAGGAACCACCACCGAATCCGGATCCGGCCTTGCGGACGACCCTTCGGGCGTGGTGTGTGCTTCCGGAGGCAGCGGCGGCGCCGGCTGCTGGATCGCAAGACCGGAGGTCCTCCACGGATACGCGCACGCCCGGCAACAGCGCTCCGCCCGAATGGAAAGCATCCGCGTTGGGGTYTCGACGCTGGTGGCACTGGTGGTCCCCCTGGTGGCCTGGTTTAGCGCGAGAAGTGATCCGGCCGCCGCCGCCGGCAAACCACCACGACGCCGCCGGAGGAGGCACCACCGCCGCATCCTCCGGTGCCTCGCGCCGTGCAGGGTTCCCGCCCCCCCGGGGGTCGGCGGGCCGGGCGGGTCCTCCTGCCCGGTTTGCCTGGAGGGCTTTGCGGAGGGGGAAGCGGTGGTCGCCCCGAAGCACTGCCCGTGCGGGACCGGCGGCGGTGGCATCACAGCGACCGGCAGCGACGCCGCCCGGCGGTCCCTTCGCCGCGGCGGACCRTTTTTCCACGAGGAATGCATCGCCGAGTGGTTGTCCCAGAAGCGGACCAACCCGGAGATGCTATGCCCGTGCTGTCGCCAGCCCTTCCTCGGGCCGAAGCCGAGGGCGACGCGGTTGGGGCGAGACGAGGACTGAGATCCTTTGGGGAGGGGGAGAAAAGAGAGGGCTCAACGGAACCGAATGCTGTRAAAGCATATGCCAAATCAAATCGAATCGAATACAACGCTGTAGAAAACAACCRCGCTTTTTGCATTGTGCGGTCCTTCCAAGACATTTGCAAGAGTGGAGTTATTCGAAAGACTCGAAAGCCATGGCTAGCATCCGAATGACTGCACGCTACGACTCTCTTAACGTCCGCTTATTGGAGAGCCACACCTGACCGTATTCCGCAGCCATAGATGATTATTATGACATTTTTTYCTTCCGTCTCCGTTRTGTAACGTATTCTTGGGTATGGTGTTCAGATTACTGGGGAGGAGGAGGGGTGTGAGACCTTCGTGCGGTCTCAATGGTAACAAGAAGAGATGTAAGGAGACCTTGTTGAGATGACTAAAAAATGTTTACGTCAAAATTGTCCTCAGAAGCATTACTAGAGATAAATTATTCTTCCTTTGATCTATCACTACCTTTTAGGTACTTCCCTATTCTGTTGTGCATTTGAGAGAACTTGCACTTTGCTAACCTCACCAAAACACAAATTGTAACACTAGTACTACTAGTAATGGAAGGAGGAATGACTACCACTGGTGACAAGTGCCAAAAGGATTCATTGTTGTTGCTTAAGAACCAATGAACAGGACTTTGAGAAAATGGTTTCTTGTTGGGTAAGTTACCATCCATTTGTCTAAGATATATTACAACAAAAATTGAAGATAGATTTCKTTTTTTGTCATTGATTACTACTACACATGAGTGCCATGTTTCTCTCAGAAATCTTTCTTTCAAATTGACCAAATGGTTTTTGAACAGAAGACATTTTTTYATTATTTTTTGAAGCATTTACTGTAAGTGTGGAAGAAGTGGTCAAACAAGTGACCTGGTCACTACTTCACTACATGCTCTTGAACAGAGGATAAGGGAAAATTCTAATGATAACAAGAATTAGTTCAGTGCACATCACACCTCTACAGAAGGATATTTATTTACTTCTGGTTTCTGTTGCCTATTTTATTGCATTTTTTGTCAATGTATCATCTTGTTTGTTGCCAGCTTTCTGTTCAGGTGTAAGGCTGTCGTCATCCTCATGTCATGTTTACTAGTGGTACTAGCTAGAGAATATTTTTTGTGGATATCCAGAGGAGATATTCTACCCAAATGTGTGAATCAGCATGTTAAATCTGCTTTCATCATGGACTATGAATATTACCTTAGTACTACTCCTGCAAGAAAAATCAATTTTCTAACAGTAGTAGCTAGTGGGTTACAATATCCCTTCCTTTCATAGTACTACCAAAAGATATAAGGCTACTGACTTAGGCATTCAACTACACAGCATCTGTAGTTGACAATTTTTGTTACTTAAAGCTTCAGACAATCTTAATCATCCTTTTTACTCTTCCAAGAAGGAGGAATGATTTTGCAGTGTGAATAAGCAGGAGCGTCAAAAATGGAATGAAATCGAGTATTTTCTAAGTGAAGAATGAAGGCCAGTAAATGGATTTTAAAAATCAACCACCACTTCTTAAACAAAAAGGAATCAGAGAGAGGTGGATATCCTTCTTGTTTGTTTTTCTATATAGCAGTGTAAAATATTTCCTCATATTTGAAGGTGGAAAGTGAGTTCCTCTTCGTCTTGCTACTAAGTTGGCCAAATCCTGGAGGGAGGAAGGAGGACAGAAAATTTCCTTGATGGGAAGGAACCTTACAAGAAGCAGTAAAATTAGTCACACAACAGCCATTCAATAGAACAAGGGGATGATAGGTTCATATAACAATTGCTCTTTTGTAAAAATAATTTACACTACTAGTAGTAATAGCSAGTGCTAATATTTCCTCCAGTCTGTTCTGAAAAGAGTGTCGCCAAAGTTACTTGATGAGTTTTGGAGGTTTTGGCAGTTGGATTGGACAAATGACTTTGTTTAATTTGTAAAATCATACATAGTACAATTATAGTAGACTACTTGAAATGAGCATGCACATGATTCCTAAAAATTGGATTTTCACATGARGTTAGTACATTGGTCACCAGGAGYRTTTCTTTTTCATATAAAAAAGTTCTCCATACAAACAAGAATAATAGCCTCACARAATACCATACTAAGAAGAGTWATAGCCTCACAAAAAGCTATTCCTTGGCTTTCTATTGCTGCAACATTGGTCTTTGAATTACTGGTAGAACCATTTTGAAATTTATGTACTAGTAAAAATTGCYCCTCTGTTGCACACAGCTTCACAAGGCTTATCCAAATTTAGCATGACGACTATATGGATAGCATACAAAAATACTAAATTGGATGTTATTAAGAACAATATGTCATTTTAATCAAGTAGTTAACTTGTTGGAAAATATACCCTTGTAGTAAAGGAGTGCAGGAGGAAGGACTTCTTGTTACTGTCATTGTTATGTCAGCATATTGCTAGTAGTATTACTACTACTAATGATGTGCCGCATTGTGGTACTACTACTGTTAATGCAACTCACAAGAATATCTATCTACTASTACTAGTAGTAGGAAGTCTATTTTTGTTGTCCTAAAAATAGTTGTCCCCTCTTCACTTAATGGTTTTGACTACTGTTTGAATTGAGTAAGGAGTGCTACTAGGATTCTTTGAGTAAAMATACTACTAGTATTGCAAAAATGGCATCACCATGCAACTCTTTGAAACAACAACAGTAATGACCAATAGGAGAAAGGTTTCCATAATTTCAACAATTGAATCTCCATCATTCTTGCTTCAAGTGTAGTGGTCCATTCAACATTATCCCAAAAACAGCTCTCCAAGTGACACTACTACTAGTACTACTAGTAGAGAGAACATACAAAATACTGTTGAATTTGACAAGTATGATGCAAAAAATAGAGAGTCACCATATTGCCCACCAAGAAATAGTATTGGGCTTATTTCAACAGCACTAGTAATACTAGTAGTAAAAGCACAGCAAATTGAACATTCATTCATGTGCAGATTTACCACTGCTACTAGTAGTACTAGTACTGGCTTCACAAGAAGAAAAGGGATACTAGTAAAGAAAAGTGGTTATCAGATGCTGATGTTGTATTGTGATGCTACTAGTACTAGTACTACAATTACTAGGACAAGAAGGCAATGAAGGGAGAACACCTGAAGTTCCAAAACCCAAACTTTGCTGGGAAATCAGCAGAAAATGGTGATGCATCAACAGGAAACTGTAGAAGAAGCAGTGCTAGCAGGAAATGGAAMTAAGAATTATTCTTTTTCTCTATTTCTGGGCTAAGCATGAGTATGGAAAATGAAAAAGTACTAAAATAATKAAACGCGGAAGACGGTGGATAAAATTTTGTGGACGAAATTGATATCAATATGCTCAAATCCCTTCATACTGCTAGGCGGAATCAGTTGGAACCAGCCCCTGAGACTACAACGRCTACCCAAGGGAATTTGACATGTCATTTCAGATTGCCGAACAGCGACGAACCAGCTTCTGTGTACGCGCTTTAAACCAAGCTATTGCAAKCGAATCCAGAKATCTTGTTCCCAAATCAAAAACCATAGTTCATGTTAACATTATTGACTAACATCGTTTACAAATTTCATACTGTTTCTACTTGAAAATATCTCTCGCTGCTTCCATATCCTTCTCTAGTTTTCGCTTTCGTCGTTTTTCTCGCTCCTTCACGAGTCCCTCCACTCCTCCATGGCGTTTATGGGCTCGATATCGAATCTCGGACCGCTTGTACAACTTCATGGGCTTGAACGATGGGTTCCGTGGGTTTTGTTTTTCTTCGTAGGAACAGACGGCCATTGTTCCCTCCGGCAAACAATAAGTGTTCATGGCTTCGGTTTTTGTTACCCATTGCGAAGCTCCTTCCTCGAAATCTTCGAGGGGTTCGCTGGAATGGTAGTCGTGGTCTTCAGTTGCCTGCTTGGCGTTTGTAGTTGGCGAAATCGATTGCGATGTCGTCGTCGATGCAGTGGGTCGTGCTAAAGTAGAATCAGTGGTCTTTCGTTTCTTAGATGGTGTTTGGTTGTCTTCAATGCTTCTTTCGCTCTCTTTCAAATGTTCTTCTTTTTGTTTTTCGTATTTTTCTCGTCGCTCTTTTTGAATCCGCAGTGCTCTCTCCCTATTTTTGCGGATTCGTAGTTTCTGTTCTTCGGTCAACACCATATCGACTTCTGTAAATATTGGTTTGATACTGAATCTGGAATGATACCAATGCTTATCGTTCTTATGTAAGGCCTCGTATGGTTTGATACAATGAACCTGTCGAAAACACAAATTATTCCTTGCTTGCTGCCTTTTCTCCACGGCCGTTCATGAACAAATAAGCGCCGTGCAGCACACCGTAGTAAAGGCCGAGCTGCCCAAAAAACCAAAGCTTCTGGCGAAATGCGTCCGAGGCGTTTCCTGCACCTGGTACCCCTTCACCACCCGGATTCAAGACAAACATTGATTTGTTGTGCGACAGTAAGGAGTGGGTAGTAGTATGAAACTAGTGGGTGATAAATACCTTTTCAAGCTGGTCGAGCGAAAAAATAATGGACGAGAGGCCGCGACTTCTCTCGCAATAATCGTACCGTACCGGCCGATACGATTGAGAATCGTATCTGTACGTGCTCGATCGGTACCGTACGGTACGTAGGTACCAGGTACCATACCGGATCAACAGATCGTCAAGTAATGAGGAGGACGATGAGGCTGCAAAGCAACGCCGTCGAGGAGAAAAACAGTACATCCTAACGTAGGAGGCAACGTAGTAGTTGCAGTATGATAATGTACGAGAACGAGATATGACTTGCGCATATTTTCTACTCGCAATTTGAGAGCCGTAATGGGTTATGAGTACAWTTCTCTACCTCTTGTCCCAGAAAACGAATGATTTGGCCACATGCCCACAATAACCTCAGTCTTCATTTCAAACACGTACTCGTACCGTAGATCCTACCGTACCGTAGGACTCGTTACAAGTTACGGTTCGCGTAAATACACTTCACAGCTCATAACCCATGAAAAAGCATATCTCTMATAAACAACAAATAGCCCCAGGTTTGCCTTCTGTTTTTAGTTTTTACCGTCAATCGATTTTGAGAGGAGTGTTCACGAAACAGGACTACGAACAAGCTGTTCGAAATTCGATTCACTAGGGGAATCACTATACGGTACCTTACTGGCCTTTAACAACGAAGTGCATCCGACGGCACAGACATCGCCATTGGATTCTTGCTTGGAATGATTGCACATCAGTATTTTCGTTGCCGAACCCTTCGACTCACGGCAGCAGAGCAAATCATGCGACGAATCAAAAACCGAGGAATCCACTGGCAAATCTGACTGAACGCTCTAAACGATGTGCCATAAAGGGCTCAAGACTCGATTCTACATTRAGTACTGTGCCGTAACTGTTCTTGGTAGATTGAAATTGATTTTACTTTTGAATACTATTTTCCTGGATTRCTTTGCGTTGCACTGATCAAACAAACAGTTCTGGATTCAAGTCCTAAACATCATTGCAATATCAAGCACCAGCTGTTGTAACGTCTACATTTGCCACTGATTGCTTCCCAATCAGTCAAATAATGTGTTTCGGGACGAACGCCAATCTTTCMCCTCACGGCTTACTCTGTTCATAGAACATTGATAGCTACGCCATTGGCGCCTTTGTATCCCTGGTGCATCCCCATCGATGCGAAACCATCTTAGATACGCAGCGGGATATCGAATTCGGCCAAGTCATCTGTGTCTTCGGTGTCATCTGTGTCGAAGAATGAAGATGGGKCCGAGGAYGGGGCAGTCGTCCAGAACAAGTCATCCATTKCATCTGTGTCATCTGTTTCTTCCGTGTCATCTGTGTCAAAAAATGAAGATGGGGCCGAGGATGGAGCAGTGGTCGAGACCAAGTCATCGGTATCTTCAGGGAAAAACAATGCAGACGGATCGGCCAAGTCATCTGTGTMTTTGGTGTCATCTGTRTCGAAGAATGAAGATGGGGCCGAGGAYGGGGCAGTGGTCGAGCCCAAGTCATCGGTATCTTCAGGGAAAAATAATGCAGACGGGTCGGCCAAATCATCTGTGTCTTTGGTGTCATATGTGTCGAAGGAGGC